ATGAGGGGCACTGAGCCCTTTGTTGGACCATCTGAGGTCAACCGCAGGTGAGGACCAAGTTTGGCCTCCTGAATCTGGTGGGGAGGGGTCACATCCAGAGATGCTCCTGGTTCCATGCTTGGGGGATGCACCTAGCAGTGCTTAGGGGGAACCATGCGGTGTCGGGGATTGAACAGGGGGCCCTAGCATGCGAAGTGTGTGCTAGGCTCTTTGAACCATCCCAGGGACCCCAGCCAGCCTCCTGAGAATCTCAGCCTGTCAACTTCATCCTCTTTCTCCCTCTGCTTATCACTCATTTTTCCTGCTGCCTCCCTGGATCTGAGGCAACCGGGTGTTGATAGGAGCACCCAGGACCCGTGACTCAGGTGGTGGTGGTGGTGGTGGGGGGGGGGGGGGGTTGCCAGGGCTGCCGGCTTCCTGGGAGGAGATTTACCTATTAACAGACCGTCTGAGTCATCAAGACTGGGCCCTCCTGGAGGTGGGAGATACTGAGTCATTCCGCCGGCTTCAGCCCAGGAGCTGTGGTCTGTTTGTCACTGTCCGTTCCCAGAGTTGAAAATTACAGTTGAGCCTCATGGGCAGAGGGAACAAGCTAGAAGTGGGTCCTTGGGACAACCATGAGGGATATGACCTGAAAGAGAGAGGGGGCCGTGGGACCAGGGTCTTATCAAAACCCTGGGAGCAGGAACAGAGAGCAAGATGCAGGAGACTGTATTCAAACTCAGGCTCAGGGGTGTCAGCGAGGATGGGGATTTTGAAGGATGTTGTTTGCCCTATGAAATAAATCTTTCCTTATAAAAGATCAGAGTTGTTTGCAGGGTTTGTTTGAATCTGTCACCCCAGCTCATGACCCTAGATAGCATTTCCCAAAGTGGGAGATACTGCCCTCTATGGGGTCTGCTGAAACAATGAGGGTATATTGCAACTTGGGGGCACTTTCCCTCCAGTTGTTGTTTTTCTGTTTTGTTTTGTTTTGTTTTGTTTTTGTTTTTTTGGCACTTAAGGAAGGTAGATTTCCAGGGAGAGTGCACAGGTGATTTTTTTTCCTTAGGGAAGGGAGAGGTAGGCAACATAACTTGGGGAGTTCTGCTCAGGAGCGTCTGTCCACCCCCACACCCATGCCCTTCCCTTGCCCTAGTTTAAATCCTCCAAACATTCTGAGTAACCTGGAGAGTTTCAGTGGCCCAGAGCCTTGGTTTGGATGGGGACAGGGCGCGGCGTGGTCACTTATATTTTCCACCAGTTTCTGAGACTGGTCCATGGAGTCACTGGGAGAATCGCTGAGGCCTGAAAGCATCCTCTTGAGCCCCAAGAACTTGGAGAGTGAATGCGGCTGGGGCAAGCCAAGTTGGTCTTGAGTGGGAAAAAAAGCAAGGAAAGAGTCATTGAGACTCTTTGAGATACATACTTAATACAAGTGAGATATACTTAAGGGGGGAACATGGCTTGCAGAGCAAGCAACCATTTGCCTTTATTTTTTGTTTTTGATTTGTTTGGAGACGACATCCAGTGGTGCTCAGGGCTTATTCCTGGCTCTGCACTCAGGGATCACTGCTAGAGGTGCTCAGGGGACCTATGGGATGCTGGGGATCCAATCTAAGTTGGGTGTGTATAAGGAAAGCATCCTATCCTCTGTGCTATCATTCTGACCTCACCATTTACCATTATAACCATTTAAGCGTACAGCCATTTGGGTGGCATTAAATAAATTCATATGCACACGGAGTTGAGTGCAAGCAACCAACCTACCACTGCATTTCCAGTGTTGTTTTTGTACAGGGAGATTCTCGGGCCTGAAGATACTCTCAGTGATATTCAGTCCTTTGTGCAGGTACAAAGGTATGTGGGGCCAGCCACATGGAACTACTTGGGCCTGGCAGTGCTGGGATCTACCAGAGTCATACCCGGTGGTCCTGGGAAGGCCTTTGGTGCCAAGGATCAAATCAAGGGCTTGCATATGCCAAGCAAATGCTCTGCTTCAGTAAGTCCTGTCTCCAGTCCCATTAACTTTTTTCTTTTTGTTTTTGGTCACACTTGGCAAAGCTCAAAAGTTATTCCTGTCTCTCTACTTAACAATTACTCTTGCCGGTGCTCAGGGGACCATATGGAATGCTGTGGGTTGAACCTGGATCGGCTGCGTGCAAAGCACTCTATCTACCTGCTGTACTATTGCTCTGGCCCCACAACAAAACCTTTTGATTGCTCCAAACTAAAATGCTGTACATACTAGACAATAGCCTTCCCTCTTCCCTCAACCCCCTGCTACCTTGGTGTCTACAAATTAGGGGAGTGGGGAGTTGGCCCACACCCAGAGGTGCTCGGGCACTACTTACTCATGGCTGTGCTGGGATGCGGTGGAGAACCATGTACATATTGGGCGTATTTATGAACTTAACAAATGTGATATAAGTGAAATCATGCAATAATGGTCTTTTTAATGTTCTGCCCAACTTTTTCTCCTTCACGATTCACCATCCTCCCAAATACCCCAATAAATAAAGAACACACCGCAGCCAATAAATTACATTGGTGGTTGAGAGGCAGAGAGATAGTTCAAGGGTTACAGCACTTACCTTGCTTGCAGCTAACCTGAGATTGATCCCCAGCACCACGGACGGTCTACTGAGCCCCATCAGGAGTGAGCCCTGAGCTAGATCAATAGCAAGCCCTGAACACTGCTGGATATGACACCCCCCCACCCCCCATCAAATAAAACAAAATAAATAAGAGTTGGTGGTTGAAGGCTGCTCCAGAAAGGTCTCTTGCGAGCTGTCCTTCAGAGCATCTGATGTTGGGGAGCCATCTGAGCTGGGATCAACCTCAGGGCCTCTCACACTTCTTCTGTCCTTTGAGCTGTCTCCTCCGCCCATCTAGTCAGATTTTATCTTCTACATCGAACTATAGTTCACCTCGTCTGAAACACTGGGGATCGAATTCCCTGAGTCCTGTTTAAAAAAAAATGGTTGAAAGATAGTACCAGGATTAAGGCACTTGCCTTGCACATTCAGCCTACCCCAGTTCAGTCCCCGGCACTGTATGGACCCTGGAGTGACCCCCAAGCACAGAGCCAGGAGTTGTCGCTGAGCACTTCAAAGTGTGGTCCAAAAGAAAAAAAAACAAAAAATAAAAAAGCAAAGAAAAAGACCACCAAAGATGATGGCATACTTAGATGTATGGATGTATGGTGGGAGGGTGGTCTAGCAGTGCTCAGGAGCTACTACTGGCTCTGGCCCAGGAGAGACCCCTGGTGGTGCTCAGGGGACAATATGCTATGCCAAGGATTCTAACTGGGTCTGAGGGTCACAAGGCAAGTGCCTTAAACCCTGCTTTATTTCTCTGGTCCAATGCTTTTCAACCTTGGTTTTGTTTGATTTTGTCTTTGGGTCACATACCTGGCAGTGCTCAGGGCTTACTCCTATCTCTGCGCTCAGGAATCATTCCTGACAGGGTTCAGGTGACTATATGGGGTGTCAGAGATTGAACTATGGGTTGACTGCTTACAAAGCAAACGCTCTGCTCACTGTACTCTCTCTCTCTCTCTCTGGCTTTTTAATCTGAGATTTTTATTTAATAATTCTTGAAATAGGGGGCTGGAGTGATAGCACAGCGGGTAGGGTGTTTGCCTTGCATGCGGCCGACCCGGGTTCGATTCCCAGCATCCCATATGGTCCCCTGAGCACCGTCAGGGATAATTTCTGAGTGCACAGCCAGGAGTAACCCCTGTGTATTGCCAGGTGTGACCCAAAAAGAAAAAATTATAATAATAATTCTTGAAATAACGTATTTAGACTTTTAGAAGTATATATATTTGCATGTTATATTTAATCAAATCTAAAAAGCCACGCATTTAATGAAGCATCTGGTTCTAAGAAATTTCTTTTGTGTTGTTTATTGTTATTTACTCTGGATTTGGGGGCTACACCTGACAGTGGTCCAGAATGGGGGGTAATTACTCAAGTACCCAGCCTGGTACTCAGGGGTCCTTCCCGTTAGCACTGGAAGCAGGGGGGACTATGCAGTATTGGGGTTTGAACCCTCATCTCCCCCAGGCAAACACATACTCAGCTCACTGAGCTCTCTATCCAACTCCATTCAAAGATATTTTATTAAATATACATCTTCAGATCAATAAACTGTGGCTTATCACTTCTGGAAAAACATAAAAAGAAAATTTTGAACAAAATTAGCTAGAGTGCTAAAATCCTCAGCTAAAGTTGAACTCTCCTGAATCACTTTTTATAACAGACTCTTCTTCTTCTTCTTCCTCTTCCTCTCCTTCTCCTCCTCCCTCTTCCCTCTTCCCTCTATCTCTTCCTCTTCCTTTTCCTCTTCCTCTTCCTCTTCTTCTTCTTCTTCTTCCTCTTCCTCTTCTCCTTCTCCTCCTCCCTCTTTCTCTTCTTCTTCCTCTTCCTCTCCTTCTCCTCCTCCCTCTTCCCTCTTCCTCTTCCTTTTCCTCTTCTTCTTCTTCCTCTTCCTCTCCTTCTCCTCCTCCCTCTTCCCTCTTCCTCTTCCTTTTCCTCTTCTTCTTCTTCCTCTTCCTCTCCTTCTCCTCTTCCCTCTTCCCTCTTCCCTCTTCCTCTTCCTCTTCCTCTTCTTCCTCTTCTTCCTCTTCTTCTTCCTCTTCCTCTTCCTCTTCTTCTTCTTCTTCTTCTTCTTCTTCTTCTTCCTCTTCTTCCTCTTCTTCCTCTTCTTCCTCTTCTTCTTCTTCTTCTTCTTCTTCTTCTTCCTCTTCTTCTTCCTCTTCCTCTTCCTCTTCCTCTTCCTCTTCCTCTTCCTCTTCTTCTTCTTCTTCTTCTTCTTCTTCTTCTTCTTCTTCTTCTTCTTCTTCTTCTTCTTCTTCTTCTTCTTTCTGCCACACAGGCTGTGCTCAGGGCTTTCTCCTGGCTTGTGCTCAGGGATCTGTCCAGGTTCAAGTCCAGGTCAGCTGCGTGCAAGTCAAGTGTTCTGCCCACTGTACAGTCTGTCTGGCTGCACAGTAAATAGACTTTTTAAAGTTTTAGATCATTCCTTGGCCTTTTGGTTAGGGTCAAGTATAATAGCTGATCTTATCAGCTTGGTATCTGATATATCCTCTATCTGAGGACAGTGTTTTAAAAGGATTTTGTTTGTTCATTTCCGGGCCACACCCAGCTGTGCTCAGGCCTCTTGGCTCTCCACTCAGAGGTCACTCCTAGTGAGGCGTGGGGACCAAATGGGATGCTGGAGACGGAAGCCCAACCAGCTATACTATCTCTCCAGCCCCTTAAATAAAATTTCCCCCCAGTTTAAGCACTGTGGTTTACAAAGTTGTCCATGGTGCATTTATTACAGGCATGCAATATTCCAACCCCAACCCCAGCACCACTGTGGCATACTTAAACAGAATTTTTAAATTTTATTTTATTTTTATAAAGTAGTTCATAATATTTGATTACAATATTTAATATTCAGTATTTAATATTCAAGCACTAATCCCACCACCATAACACCTTCCCACCACCATATATCGGCTGTTTCCATCTTAACCCCAACCCCTGCCCCAAAACAGAACCAAAATAATTTATTGTGTATTGTTTGTTATGAATAAACTGCTGAAAATGATCCAAAAAAGTTTCCTCAGAGGAAAATGTGTGAAGATTGTTGTATTTCACCCAGGGGCCCTTAAGCCCTTCTATAAGAGATTACTAACATGTTGTTAAAGGTTGAACCTGTGTGCTTATATATACATATATCTGTAAAAATTTATTAAATGGATTTTTGAAAGAAAATTTGAACTGAGAGATTCCTCTGTCCATGACTCACTCATGTATCCACCTGATATTGCAGTATTTCTGGGAATGGCTATTTCCTCCTACAAAAAAAATTAATCAGGTTTTAGGATTACAGGGGAAAAAAGGAGCAAAGTGTCCTGAGAGTTCTCATAAACACCGTCACATGCAATTTTGCTTATTTTTGACATCTTGCAGTCTTGTGATACACTGATGAGATCATATTGATGCATTATTAACCAAAGCATAGTTCATGATGAGACTTTTAGTCTCTCCAGGTGTTTCACATTTTATTGGCTTGGCATGTATATAATGCCATACACCTGCCATTAAAGTATCACAGAGAATGATAATAATACTCTACTGCCCTCCCAAATTTTTATCTGCACCCCAGTTTTTCCCTCTCCCCTAACAAGCCCTTAGCAACTACTGTTCTCTTAACTGTCTTCATAATTTTGCCTCTCAGGGTTGGAATGTAGATCAGTGGTAAGCATATGTCTTACATCTGTGAGACTCTGAGTTCAATCCTCAACCATCACCACAAAAGTGTAATTCTGTCTTTTACAGAATATCATGTAGTTGCGATCATACAGTAGAAATTTTTTAGACTGATTTCTTTTTTGCAGTTCCTGAGTTCTTGTTAACACACATTTCAAATTTTCATTTATTTATTTATTGTCACTCTTAGCTCTGCACTCAGAACTTACTCCTGGTGGGCTCAGGGAACCATCAGGGATGCTGGGAGTTAAGCCTGGATTGACTACATGCAAAGTAACTGCCCAACTCACTGTACTATCTCTCCAGCCCCTAACAAGTGCTTAAAACAAACAAACAAACAAAAACCAAAAAACAATTATCCATACAGCAAGGGGAGCTACGGGGGGAAAATTCTCCTCTATTGGTTATAAAGTTCCAGGTTCATCATGGACTTCATTGGCCCCCAGAGACACAGGTGCTTAAAAATTATGCACTGCTTTTTTGACACGATCTTACTCCTATGGGTGCCAGTTTGGGCTGTTACCAGCTTCTTCAGGACCCTGATGGTATCATCTGTGTTACACTTAACATGGACCTTCTTTACCAGAAGGTCTTTTGTTACAAACAACCTCCATCATTCTGTCTGGAGCTCTATTGCCGGAACTGCCAAATGCCATACCTCTCAAGCTCACTTTTGGTTATTGTTGTTGTTTGGGGACCACACCCAGCAATGCTCAGGGGTTACTTCTGGTTCTGCACTCAGAAATCACTCTTGGCGGTCTCAGAGATCATATAGGATGTTGAGGATCAAACCCTGGTCAGCCATGTGCAAGGCAAATGCCCTATCCATTATACCATCTCTCTGGCCCCCTACAATCCTCTGTTAAGTGACCTAAGTTAATCAGATCTCAGATAGTCTCAACATGTCAGCATGTGCTTATGTCTGATCATACCACGAAGTCACTGCACCTTTTTTTTATGAGTTTATTTTTTTATTCCCAGTTTTGTTTTGTTTGGGTTTGTGTGTGTGTGTGTGTGTGTGTGTTTGTGTGTGTGGTATATATCCAGTGATGCTCGAGACTTACTCTTGGCTCTGTGCTGAGGCATCACTCCTGGTGGAGGTCGGAGGACTATATGGGATGCTGGAAATTGAACCTGGGTCAGCTACATGCAAGGCAAGCACCTTTTCCACTGTATTATCACTTGGGACCCAGATTTATTCACCTTTAAAAAAACAATTTAAAATAATTTGACAAGAATATAAACATTCTAAAGAAATTTAAGGAAATTATCCTTAAATTTCATTTAAAGAGAAAGAAAAAACTAAGAGTTATGGAGATAACTCCACAGTTAGGGGTGTGCAAGTAGGATTTCTGTTTAGGGAGAAGTTTGTTTTTGGTTTTAGGGGGCTGTTTGTTTTGGGATCACATTATGGTGCCACTCAGGGCTTACTCCTGGTTCTGCACTCCATAATCACTCCTAGAGTTGCCTGGGGACCATACAGGATGCCAGAGATCAAACCCAAGAGGGTTACTATTGCTCCGGTCCCTAAGACAAGTAGGATTACTGACACCACAAAGTCCCCTGAGCACCACCCACTATGCACCACCCCCCCACCTCCAGCACCAGCCCAGACATGGAACCTTCAGGCTTGATTCGCCAATACTGCCAGGAGAGGCTTCTGCGTCCCTGAACACTGAGAGGAAGACCCTGCCAAGAAATAGAGAGAAACTGAGACAGAGCAGAGAGAAGTCGGTGTGTTCGTCTGTAAAGTTAGCAAAAAGTCATCTGCTAAGGAAAAGAGGCCTGTGGGAATGATTCCAGCACTAGCCAGGATGGCATTAATGCCATGTTGATGTGTGTAATAACAGCATTGACTTCCATATCAAGGAGAGTGAGATTGGGGCTGGAGAGATAGCACAGCAGATAAGTCACTTGCCCTGTACAGTGCCAACCTGGCACCCCTTATGGGCCGCTGAGCACAGCTGGGTGTTGCCCAAAATCGAGAGAGAGAGAGAGAGAGAGATTATAAAATACCATTCAGATACCCAGAATTTTCTTTCACCTTTTAAAAATAATTTTGTTGTGGGGGAGTCACGTCCAGTGCTGCTCAGGGCTTACTTCTGGTTCTGTGCTCAGGGATCACTCCTCACAGTGTGCAGGAGAACTTGTGCATGTGAAGTTGCATGTGTGTATTGGGGTGGGGTGGGGGGGCGGTGAAGTTGTGTGTGTGAAGTTGGGGATCTAACCCAGGTCGGTCATGTGCAAGAAAATCCCTACCAGTACCATCTCTCTAGTCCTTTCTCCTTTTTTAAAAGCTATTGGTTATATCCAGTGATACTTGCCCTTTAGTGTATAGCTCTGCAAGTTTGTTTTAATGCATACAGTAGTGTTAGTACCCAGCAAACTACCAAGAGTATCTCGCCCGCATGGCAAAGCCTGGCAAGCTACCATGACGTATTCAATATGCCAAACACAGTAACAAGTCTCACGATGGAACGTTACTGGTCCCGCTCAAGCAAATTGACGAACAACGGGAGGACAGTGCTACAGTGCTACAGTGTTAGTACCATGGCAGCCAATGCAGCAAATAGTTCCTTCCCGCTAAAATAGTTCCCTCCTAAAATAGTGGTCAAATCCTCCCCTCCACCAGCCCCTGCAAACCCCTGATCTATCCTTAGTACTTCCCTTCGTCGGGAATAAATGGAATCACAGTGTGCAACTTTTGGGGTCTGTTGCTTTCATTGAGCATAATGCAGGTGAGATACATTCTTATTGGTGTATATATTAGTAGCTCATACATTCTATTGCTGAGTAATAGCTCACTAGGTGGATATAGCACAGTCTAGCCACTTGCTAGCTGGAGGATATTTGAGTTATTTCCTGTTAAGGAAATCAAATGACTATCAGCATCTGTCTACAGATCTGTGTGTGAATGTCAGTTTTTCTTTCACTAGGATAAATGCCTAGAAATTGGACTGTTGGATGTGGCAGATGTACAGTTTTCATTTGCATTTCACAAATGATGCTGAGTATCTTTTTATGTGTGCAGTTTTTGGCAGGGTCGTAATTAGATCATCTTTATTTTGCAATGCATCTCTTTAAGCCCTTTGGCCATTTTCATCAGGTGGGTGTTTATCTTATCATTGGATTGAGAGTTCTTTCATATTCCAGTTTATATTCTGGAAGAACCCTGATCTTATTCCAATGCATGTTTCCTTTAAGTCTAAATCTGTTGCCTGTGGTTCCCATCATAAATATTTCAAAATAAAAGTAATCACCATCTTTCTGACAGCAGCAAAATCTCTGGCCTTGCTTCTACTCTTTTCTCCATCCCATAACACACTTTGTCACTATGGTTTTATTTTCCAATTCAGATTTTTCGTAGCCCCTGAGAATTGAACAATAGGAAGAGACATAGAAAGGGAGAGTGTGTGGTGCTGGTCGGTGAATACAATGGAAAAACACAAACACATTAATACTTTCCTATTTCCTCTTCATCAATTTCTGCATCTCAACCCTCTTATCTGAGTTCATTTTCCTTTTAACTAAATTACTTGCAATTTGAATGCCTTTCTTAGAAAAATCTTTAGCAAAGTTCTACTCCGGATAAACAGATTACAATAAACTCACAAAGGAAATGTCTTTATTTTACTTTCCTTAAAAGATGTTTTGGCTGGATGAAGAATTAATAATTTTTTTTCCAACACACTGAACATACTATTCCATTTTCTTATCACCTCCATTGTCCTTTGGCTTAGCATTCTTCAACCCCGGGCCCATTGGCTTAGTGCTAGTCCCCAGGTGTAAAAAGCTTAAACTACCTGATCTACTGCCTTGGTTATAACTGCTGGTCCATGGGAAATTCTGAGGACAGGTGCCAGATTGCAAGTGTTGGGAAAAAATGGAAAAACGTTGCTCTAATTAGAATGAGTGTCTTTTAACCCACCCACCCCCACTCTTGGTTAC